TGTGATTGCCTGGGACACTGCTATAGTTTGAAGGTCTCTTCTAAACTCATGTTGAAATGTAATCACCATCAAAGACAATGAGGTGAGAGCACTGAGGGGTGATTAAGCCATGCTGGCTCTGTCCTCATGAGTGGATTAATCCCATTGTTGTAGGAACAAATTCATGATTAAAAAAAAAAAAAACGTTTGAGTCCAGACCCTTCCCTCTCTCACCCTTTCTCACATACTTTCTCGCCGTGTAATTCCTTCTGCATGTTAATGCAGCAAGAAGGCCATCACCCATTAGTCCCATAGTCTTGGACTTCCGAGTCTCCAGACTGTCAGCTAAATAAATTTCTTTATAAATTACCCAGCCTCAAATATTGTGTTCTAGCAGCAGAAAATTAGCTAAGACAGGTACATTCCACAGCTACTTAGCCCAAACTAAAGGCTCCAGCTAATGAGCACTATAAAAGAGATAGAGTAAGGCGGGCCCCCCTTCTGCTTCACCAGAGTGTCTGAATGTGGAAATAGAGCTGTGTATAAATCAGACAATTGACGAATCAATCAATCATGGAAGGGAGAAAGAAAATGTACAAAAGAGGATCGGCCCAAACCATGGAGAGATTGGCAAGATTCACGTTTCAACTCAAAACCTCTGAAACAGAGAGCTTGTGTATGAAGATCATAGTTTGGGGCTCATTTTTGAAATGCTTTTAGCAAAGCTTCATGGCTGGGCCACTCCCCTTTGCTAACTTGAGATTCAGCTGATACACGGGCACAAAGGCCCACTGGCACTGCACAGGATGGATGGAGTGGATGCCCAGGGCCAACCTGCAGCTGATGTCCCTTCCAAGCTGACACCCAGCAAGTACTTGGGCGTAGTTCCACCATCTTGTTCCTTTGGTGATCATATGTCTGAAATAGCCCTCCTTCCATGTCACTTTATTCTGCATAAGAGTAATTAAGTATTTAATACATTCGAGCCCATTTATGCAACTTTGAAGTCGTTCAGATAATAAATTAATACATTAAAAAAAAGTCTTTTATTGGACAGTTTCTGAGCCCCTGTTTTTGTTCTGAAAACATAGGCATCATATTTATAAGAAAAGTGTGTTTGATCTGCAGTGAGAGTGGTGAGTTTTCAAAGCAATCGCCCTACCCTCAAACGATCAGAGATGTCCCCTAAACTGAGTCTCATGCTAGGACCATCTGACATTTTGGAATATTCAAATATTTTGGCACTCCATGTAGCCTAGCACTCTGAGCAGCCACTCTTGCCCCAGGCACTTCACTATGTCCCCAAGAGTCCACAGCTCTGAGAGGAGGTGAGTGACAGTTACTATCTTATCATTTAAGGAGCTCAAGATGCTTCTAATGTCCCCCATGGCCAAGGGTCAGTGATTCCTCCACACATCCTCCTTGCTGTGAGATGGCCAAGGCCTGGGACACCTTTTGTCAAACTAAGAGCAACCCAGCCTTTACTCCTGCCTTCCTAGTGGGGCCAGTGTGGCAGCATGAGAAGGAGGATGACGCATGAGGGTGGATGAGCCAGTACTGGAGGGACTTCCAGGGCACAGGTCGACAGGCCAGGGCAGGACTACAGGAAGGAGCACTTCCTCTTCTAAATGAAAGGATCCCTCACACAACCGATATAAGTACCTGGAAATGCACCACTCCCACGAAAAAGCCAAGACAGCTTCCAAAAGTGTTGCTTCTCCACCTACCCTACTGTGACATCACTTTGTTCATTATAGTCTCCTGAGGGCTGATGTTATAGGTGGGAAAACATGTGTCCTTCTTTTGATAGACTGACCCAGAGTCAGAGCTATGACTTTTGTCGAAAACAATCATTACTTGATGGTGGCAACTTCCATTTTAACAACTGGGCTTATTTTAAGCACTCTTCTAGAACAGCAAATAACCAAGGAATGCTAATGGGACCTCTAATTTATAGACCAGGAACTTGAGACTTGGCAATCTTTGGGGATTAGAAAATATTTGCTTCCTATTTCAGAAGATTGCTTCTTGGTCAACTAAGGCAGCATGCTAAATAGAACAGGAATAGATTCTCATTGTTTTTCTTTTTTGAGAGTTCCCTTCCTAAAGCAGTAATGTACTAGTAACTCAGACTTGCTTAGACCAGTCTGGGCACATAGTGCCATCCTGCCTTTAAACATGAAGCTCTTCTATGGCTACTCTGAGCCCTTATTTCTCAACCTCAGCCCAACCAACTTCGGAGTTGAATAATTCTTTGTCATAGGGGGCTGTCTTGTGCATTGTGGGAAGTTTAATTACATCCTTGGCCTCTTCCAATGAGATGACAGTAGTCAAACAATTGTGTCTCCAGGCATCTCTTTAGAGGCAAAATGACCACCCACCCACCCCCACCCTGGCCCAGTTGACTCTCATGGTTTTCCTTCTCAGTCAACCTTACCATACCTGGAATGGGAGAGAGTTTTCTTAGTGACCCAGTCTAATTAAACCAGTCACGGGCAAGAGGACTGGGGAGTCCTAGATTAAGCAACTGGATTGAACTCTAGACAACAAGTCTTCATCAGTGCCAAAGAGATAATGGGTACCAGGTGCCAGAGGCTCACACCTGTAATCCTAGCTACTTAGGAGGCAGAGATCAGGAAGATCAAAGTTCGAAGCCAGGCTGGGCAAACAGTTCACAAGACCCTATCTCAAAAAAAACCCATCACAAAGGAAAAAAAAAAAAAAAAACTAGTGGAGTGGCTCGAGGCATAAGCACTGAGTTCAAACTCCCAAACACAGGACAAACAAAATACACCGGGTACCTGGGCATCAACTTCCTTCTCTAACATCAAGAGCTCATGGAGCTGTGCTCATTCCTCTGCCAAATCTTACATCAGGATTGAGACTATAAGTTTCCTTGCTAGCATTTCCAGTGCCAGCATCTCAAGGTTATATGTTGTAGACAATTTGTAGATCCTTTGATTTTTATAGCCCAGCCAAATATTGAAATCTACCTGTTTGAGCCAGCTTACTGAATTTGAACTTGCACTAATAAATGTTACTTATTGCTTATCTTGATCAGAAAGAAGGTGTTAAAGATGTCTTTGCTTGTTCTATGGTTCTGAAGGTTGCCTAACTAGTTTCAGTGATGGAGAAACTGAGGTCCAGAGAGCAGTCATGAGTGAAAGCGCTGGAACAAATAACTTCACAGCTCTTATGCAACCTTCTACTTTTTACTGAAGCAACTTTGAAATTTGTAGTCAAAAAGATCCCACATGTTGACAGTGTTTTTTCAGATATAGCTGTTGTAGGGAGAGGATTATGGGCTTTTTGTTTTAAAACCAATGGAAACATTCCATATATTCTGTTGGGGGTGGTAATCTTCTGTTGAAAATATGCACTTTGATTGATTTGGTTTGAGTTTTCTTTTAAATCTCCTACAATTTTCCAGATACCCTGTCTAGGATAATATCATATTATGCCTACAACATAAATACTTTAAAAATTTTTTTCACCTCAGTGTCTAAAATAAAATAAATACATACTGTGTAGCATTCTTTTCTTAGTCAAGATATTAATCTTGTTTAATTTGATTACAATACCAAAAAAGAGAATTGGCAATAGACTGGTCTCAGGTTGTCTTTTCCAAGTCAATGACACATTTTGTCCTGAAATCACAATATCATTATTTACTTTAACAAATCTCTACAATATCATCTTTAAGAAAAATAGAGTGTAATTTTGCTGACCTTAGATAATAACCTCTTTGAGAAGTAGGGCGCTTCTCCAGCCCTTTCTGTGACTTGAAACTATAAATCCCTGGGCAATTTCTACGGAGCAAACTCAAGTGACTCTTTGCCTGTACCTGTGTAAAGTTTTGTTTTTAAACATACTTCTGATGTAAATTTTGATCTAAACTTTTTCCTGATTCCGACTTTTTGGAATAGTTACTGGTGCTTACATGAAAACAGAAGCCATTTAAGAAAGAAGAAAAATATGCTACAGAGAAGCCAGTGAAGAAGGGTATATTAATCATTCTTAAAATCGGTCTTTTCCCATGAATATTTAATAGCTTTTGAATAACTGGTTTTCATCAGTACAGAAAAGAGTTTCAAACCATTCAAATCTTTTCATATTTAATTAGAGAAGGGTACCAGTGTTAAAAGTTACACAGAACTTCAGTCAGGTCATAAAAACCAAAGTCAGAAAAGAGCTCTGATTGATTGGTATCTTTTTTAAACCCATAAATGTACTGAGAAAAATTAATAATAAGCTTATGTATCCATTTCCAGAGTAAGATAAAATGTTCAACATCAATGGCAGCTCTATTTGTATAAAAACGTGCAGAATTTAGAAAGAATAGTTAATGACACATCTGTTAATATTAAAGTTTCATTTGACATTGAATTTGGTCCATGACAGCATTATAGAATCTCTTATATTGTAAATTTTTTAGGAATTTATCTAAACATTTCTAGTGATCAGAATGTAGCCTGGGCAAGAGTCTTCTTTTCTATGGGCAAAAAAAACTTTATCAAGTCCTAGTTTAAAATTCCTTTTATCCCTCTTAATCTAAGATTATGAAATTTTCCCATAAACTTCTTGTCACATTTCATTTTATTTTCACTTTTAAATTCTCTGATTAGAAAAAACTTATACTATTTAGCTTTTATATCTGAGGCTTTGAATAAGTTAAATTAAAATATGAACAGGCCTAAGGTACATGAATAAGAGGAAAATCTTCACCAGGCAGTTCCAACTCAACTGGTGTCAACTGTGAGTTACCATTAAAGTCACATTCTATAAAATTCAAATATACTAAAAATCTTCTTCTGCAAATCTATGAATCTTGGATTTCTACTTTATATGCTGATAAAAAAAAAGAAAGAGATAATCTCATAACTGACCTCCTTCAAAGCTGATTCCAACTTTGGTGTTCTGGTCCCTAGCTTCTCTGTGTGTTCCTTGGGTCAGGGGACTGGAAGCAGGAGGGAGCAGAAGGATGGGTGGGTAAGGGAGGCAGGGAAGAGACTAGCACTCACCGCCACTGCAGGACGAGCTGCTGAGTAAGGGACAGGGCTGCCCATGGTGGAATCCATAAAGTAGCTCATTCTGCTCTTAGCACCTGTATGAAAGAAAGCATTGATTGAACTTCTGGCTATACCCAAGTGTGGGGACCTGACCCCCAAAGGGCATACAGTTCTTAGACCTAGGAGTCTCCCTAGGAACATCTTTATGACGCAGAAAAGGAAACTGAAATTCAGAAAGATAAGTAACCAATCCCCCAGCACAAAGAGTGGGACAGAGCCCAGACAGAGCCAGTTTCCTGACAGCAAGGCAGCATGGGTAACAGATTGTGTCTGTGTGCTACAGAAACTATGCAGTGAGAAGCTCCACAAAAGGCAGTTTTTGTAGAATTTCTGGCCTTTTTAAATAAGATCTCCATCCATGTATCACCTGCCTCCCTCCCTCAACCATGCCTGGCACATAGCAGAAATTCAATACATAGCTGACCTATAAATTAATTGACAAAGGATAAAGTAGTAGAAAAAAGAGGAATGGAAAGTTTCCCCAAAGAGGCATGTCAACCAGCACCCCAGGGCTCAGAGAGAAAAACGGAAGCCCTGCAAAAGAGACTAAACAGTATTCTCTCTCAAATCAGGAGAAGGTTGACAAATAATGCTTGGTGCTAGCTCTCATCTCTACTGAGAGACTGAATGATGAGAATGCCTGAGGAATGTTCTAGCTAGAGGGATTTTCCAGCTAGCTGCCAGTCATCAGGAAAATCTTTTATGTATCAGGCCTAAAGTGCTCTCTGGAGTGTATTAGTTCACACACTTTCATAAATTCAATACTACATATGAAAATAAATGTCTTTCTTGAATGATTTAAAAGATTAAATTTCTAAGCATATCTCAGATGCCAAACTCCTATTGCTAGGAAGTGACATTTCAACTTCATTGCTGTCCAGTCTTTCTTTGTCTTTTTACTTTAATCTTGTGAACATTTAAAGCAATTGACACATTTCAAGAAAAAACAGAGAGTAATAAGATGGGTCTTATGTTCAATTTGCTGTTCTGGTTCTCCATCATGATATTGTATGAAGACCAATGACAAGCCTACTTTCATACAGAATGTGTTTAAGTGATATACTTACACAGGCATGGCAATATAAAATTATACTGACTGTGCTCTTCAACCAATGAGCCCCTATTATCATATGGCTGGGAGATACAAGCTAAAAAATTTCTGAAGACATAACTTATTCCAGAACTATTTTGTTGTTGTTTTTAATTATTTTGGCTTATTATAATGCCTTTTCTTCCAAAGATAGAAGGCAGTCTGAATTATTTTAAAAGTTCAATTAAGGAGTCTAGGTGTCAATCGAGATTTCATTCTGTAGGTTTTCAAGGAATTGATCTGCACTGCAGCAAATGGCTCTTAGGAAGAGTTCCCCAGTGGTGAAGCTGAAGGGTAGAAAAGGTCAATGTCCAAGGGCATTATCAATACCTGCCCCAGTGGTTACCCAGTCAGTGTCAGTTTCTAAAACTGGTAAGCAGCTATCATGCCGCAGACACTGATCTGGGCACTGAGCATGGAATAAAAATAAGACACATACAACCTAGGTCAGCATGACCTGACCAAATATTGTGCAAATAATCTCCAGGTGTTCAATGGCCCCTTTCCCACTGAGGTCCTAATCATTCATCATCAAACAACACATCCCCACTTTGACATTTAGATCTACTCAAGGCTCATTGATTATGCCATGCTGAGACTGGCCTACCCTGATCAGATTCCCTAGGCAGGAGCTGGCCAGCTTTCCAGGGTCCTGCAAGGCAACTTGTGCCTGTTGGAGATGTCCAAGCATGGGGGAATGCTGTTGGAGAATCCAGGCATGGAGGGATACTGCTTCATGCAAGCCATTCAACCTTCTGATTTCCTTTCCCAAACTACCAAGGATCCCTACATCCTTATAGACCTCAGTTATTTATCCAGCAATCATTTAGTAGGCATCTTTAGTTGTGAACTTATTTACTCCTTCAATAAATCATTACATGTGTCTCCTATGTGCCAGGCACTGTTCTGAGTCCTTGAGGTTCCTGATGTGATGGTCCTGAAACTATACCAGACTTAGGAAGTAAAGCTGAGAAAGACAGCTCCTGCATCAGGCAGTGGAGAATGCAGACTCACACATAGCTAGCATAATGTGATGAGTAGTTTGCCAACAATATGGAAAAAATAAGTTCTGCTGGGTGCAGGGAAGAGGAAATCGTGGAAGATGGCACAGAACGAGGTGTGACCACATGGCCTATGAATCATCCCTAGACTCCCACAGGCAGCAAAGGACCTTTGCCCTTCTGAATGCCTGTTTTACTTTTTACTTATACATTTGTAAGAGAAAGGACTTCAGGAACTGGCAGCAATGTCCTGGAGCCCAGCTCAAAGACACCCAGAGTTTCTGTCTGCTGGCCAGACAGAGCTCCCCCTCTTAGCAACATGCTTGGAAAAAGGTCCAGTGGAAACATGTTTTCTCCTCCAATTGACAGAGTGAGGGAGGAAACCTCTGGCCGAACATCTGGTGCATTCTGTGCTGGACCATATTCTCCAATCCATGAATGACACTTCCCTTGGGGAAAAGCCCTTTGCCCAGGGAGGAAACTGAAAAGAGGGAGTTGCCAGGGCTCTCAGGCGCTCTCATCTCAGGAAATAACTCTGGGACAGAAATGGATTGCTGCTTTATTATTTTTTGGAGAAAGAAAAAAAGAACCCGCCCTTTTCCAACTTGTAGATTGTGACAGAGAACAGCTGCTGGAAATCTAAATCCTTTCAGAAGTTGCAAAAGGAGTGTTCAGAGTTTTTTGTGGGGGGGGTTTTCCTCCCCTTGGCTTCTTGACCAAAGAGAATTCCCTCCCACATGACAAGCCTTCAACATCAGCTGGACTTGAACATTTTGTCTTGGCATTGCACATGTGCATTACCTAAATAGAAAACAACTGTGTGGTTTTAAGGTTTACTCCCCAGCCTGGAAGCAGCTGGGAGACCTGTCCGGGTGTAGAAATGATTTGAATCCTTGGTAACACAGGATTATGAAGAAGAAAGTTCAGTTTTCTTCAATGGGACCAGCATCACCCAAGTGGCAGAGTCTGTGAGTCCAAAGTAAGACTGTCAAGCTCACTCACTCAGCCTTCCACACTCCCTTCACCTCCCAACCCGGTGCACCCTTCCTCCTCCACCATCTACTTCTCAACATGCACCTCTCTTGTTCTCTTGAGCTCTTTCTCCTGTCCTTCCACTCTCCTGCTTCTCAGAACTAGTGAACCCCTTTTCCTCAAGCTGTGGGACTCATATCAGAAGGTCTCCTACCTGGACCCTCTCCTGAACCACCTTCATGCCAGTGGGGGCTAGCTGCTCCTTTTCCAAGTTCTCCAGTGTAGTATCTGTATACCATCTGTGCTTATCACACTGTTTGGCAAACATCTGTCTTTATTTGCCTTTCCCACTAGATTCTGAGCTCCTTGAAGGTAGGTACCATGCCTTTTTCACTTTGTGTAATAGCAACTCACTGTTTTTAAATCAGTGAATGGATGCATGGACAGATGGTTGGATGAATGAATGAATGATGGTTGAATGAATGAATTGGTCTCCCAAGACTAAAACTGTAGGAGGTGGATCAGATGTGAATACATTCATCTGTCAAATCAGACAATTTGAATAGATTAGGGGTCTGGATAAAGACCACTTGAAATTATAACGAGTTTCTTTCATATCTACCTCTAAGGGAAAACTCTCTTCTATTCACATAGCTATTTAATGTTAGCTTATCTTATAGGGAAAAGAAGCCTTTTCCCTATACAGATAGCCACACCCTAATCCCCACTTGGATACTCATTTATTGTCTCCCCCAAGCTATGCCCCATTATAATCCAAGCTCTTCCAGAGCAGAGACCGTCCATTCCTTCAGGTGGTATCCCTGGATCCAAGGCCAATGCTGGCAGGTGGCTGGCACACAAATAATTGCTGAACATCAGAGACTAAGTTAGGAAACTTGTACACATCCTTTGACTCAAGCGAGCTCCTCTTTTCAGATGAGGGGCAAAACTAAGACCACACTATTTAATTGACCCAACTGAGTCGTGGCTCCAGGTCTTCAGCATCATCCCCTCGGGTTCTTTACCTTCACCTTGTTGAATGGATCAGTCGATGGAAAGGACAAAAAGTAATAAGTTGGCTTATATGAGTGTTTTATGTCCAACAAAACCCTTTAGCACTAGCTTTCTATCAGACTCTGTAGAGAGTTAGTCTTTAAAGCATGCAGCCACTTCTCCTGCTTCCCCCCTCCTCAACCTTGTAACCCAGCCAGGATCTGTGCTTCCTTTCACCCAATCTCTCTCACCAGGCCAGGTTGAGTGACGCACAAAGTGCAGCAAAGGTTAGGGAGCAAGGCAGCAGAACAGTAGGAAATCCCAAAGAGACAAGGTCTTAATCAGGGCTGAATCCAGCTCATATCCACTCTGCCCTGCTTGGCTGTATCTCTAGGTAACTGTGACATCAAGTTTTTAATTTTGAATATTTGCTCTTAAAGGAAAAATTATGCCTTTAATTAAATAACCCAGTAAGCTGCACTTGAAAATTTTCTCTATTTGCCCAGCATGGTGGCACATACGTATAATCCCAGCACTAGGGAGCCTTAGGCAGAGGGACCAAGAGTTGGAGGCCAGCCTGGAATACATTGCAAGACCTATCCCAATTTTTTTTCTTTTTAAAATAAATGGTTTTGACAATATATATTTATTTGCAATTAAAAAAAAAACAGAAAAGTCTCAAATGGACATGAAAAATCACCTAAAATCCTACCATGTAGAGATAATTATACTAATATTTTCTCCAATATTCTTTTTATTAATCATATTATTGTCACACTGAGGGGTACATTGTGACATGTGCAAAAGCTTTTACCATATATCATAGTTGAATCCACCTAACGCATCTGTATGAATGCAGACGTAACACGTAAAGAAGATGGCAATTTTACCTTTGTGAAGTTATTCCCTACATGTTGTTTTATAATCTGCTCTATTCATCTATATTAGACATAATATGAATGAAATGGGTATTTTCCTG